TAGATAGCAAAACTTCAGGCAAAACTGTTCTTTCCGTGTAGAATTTGCGAAACTGTTTTGTAACATGCGTTTCACAGATCGGTGCGACCCTTGAAGGATTCAGCATGCTTGTTCCTGTACTTCCTGTAAGCGCAATGTAAGCAACGAGTGCACGCTAATGAAGAGAGGGATGATATAATTGTGCATTCGGTCGTGTGGCGAGTGCATAAATCTCAGCACGGTGCGAGCAGTCCGAAGGAGGAGTATTGTGAGAGGGAGAAAGGTTGGGGGGAGCGAGAGGACAGGGTAGTTGCCGTAAACCTCTTATCTGGAGCAAGGATACCGAGGAAAGAGCAGACTCCAAATTATCTCGCATACAAGCTTTATATATATATATACACATTGCGTATATATGTATATACACACATACACATATATACACACACAATATATACATATATATATCTCACATGCGCGAGGGTATCTCTTATTCTCTCCCTATCTTTCTCGAGAATATTTCGTCATTTGACATTTTCATCACGAACATCTTGCTGTACGTGTCACTTTCAACTAATTTCGATGTAATTGCGAGATGTAGCGAGGACACTGACTTTGCCATGCAAACGTTTTGATTATCATTCAACATACAAACATAAGAATGGTCTGTATTCTTTGTGAATATTCATTACTGAATAATAAATAATATATACGAAGAAATAATAATGATAATCTATAATAAATATCTAGCACCGAAAAGTTGAAAAAATATTTCCTCGATGAATTTAAAATTTAAAACAATCCTAATAAAAGATAATTTATTAACAAATATTTCACAATTATAATAAAATTTTTTTTCTTTTCCTTTTTTAATAAAATCCATATTTTAAAAATAAAATCTATATTTTTATTTATACGATTTTAATTATTATTCAAAAGTTATAATTTTTCCTTTATATCCTTCAAGTACAGTTTCTTACCAGATATCTGTGCGTTAAACAATTTAACGCTGACTTTACTTTAGCAAAGACAATGAGATTATAAATTGATTTCACAGATCCTTGATTCTACAGATCCCTAATTTCACAGATCCTTGCGTCTACCTTGCGTCTACGTTGCGTGTATCTATCATGTTATCCATAAATCCCTGATATATATTATTCATGAATATACAGTCTCTATGGGTCCGTTTTAATGCCGCGCAACGCAAATTCCCTCTCATAAATAATATGCCTCGCATTTATCGCGGTGACAAAATTTTGCTGCGGAAATATTGATTTTTATAGGTACCTTTTAAATACGCCACGCGCTGGTGCAGCATAGTTAAGAGGAATATTTCCTATAACTCTGCGGAGTTAAAAGGAATATTTCTATTCTGAGGGTGCCATTCGTTTCATATATGAGTTATATATCTTTTCGCGTTTCTCTCCATCTCGTCCCTCCCTCCCTCCCCCTTTTCCTCCTCAGACCTTTCGCCTTACTCGTTTTTGCCCTTTATACAGGGTGTCTCGGCAGCAACCAACTCTCTTTCTCTTCATTACAGACGCTAAATGAGTCTTTAAGAATTTACAATCGCGTTTTAAAACCTCATGCGTCTTTATTATCTTTTAAACGAGATATTATTGAGATTAACGGCACGTTAATCGCACAAGGGAACGAGACTACATTTTTACACACGAAAACGTGACGTATCGCGATCGATTAGATTTAAACCTTTTTCGTTTTCTCGAACGCGACCCCCTTTAATTGTTTCAGCGATAGCGCGTTGAAACGAAGCGCGGTCGCGACGCGGGGAACGCGCGCTGTATGTGCGTGTGTATCGCGTAAGTATCTAATACATTTATATATACGTATATCACGTCCCAGCCTCCGCGGTGGAAGTAACGCTCGCGTTGCCAGTTTACATGTTCCGTCTCGGTTACCCGTACAGCGCACTTCGCCTACTTACGTACGTGATTCCAACGCCCCTCACACTGTAAAGACTTATACCTTCGTCACTTATATGAGCAAAGTGTCAAAGTGGCTTTGCGCTGCCTCGTCACGAGTCAGCTAGGGATCAAGATGTCCCGAGCCATCACGAAAATTACCAAAGTCGGAAACCGAAAACCAAATTTTCTCCCGGGAAAATTGCCACCACCGAGGAAACGAGTTTCATACTCCGCATACACTTTCTATCGGGCTCGTTAATTAATTATCGGTGTTAAGTATCTCCCGCTGATATTTTTGATTGTTGCAAAATTTTCGCTAAGATCATATAAAAATAACGTATACAGTAACGTAGGATATTCCGTGTGAATGCGGAGATAAATTAATTCAAAGTGTCACAGTTGTAAAATATTTTTAGTTGAAATTTATGATGTTAACTTTTAACGAGTTATTATGAGAAAATTCAATTTCGGTAGAATTAAAACGTATAATTATACATATATTATGAAATTTTTTCATGGCTGACATAATTACAATTTATAATATAATTAAATAATTAAATAATTCACCCAAATTAAATAGTTTTTTTTCTTTACCTTTTGTTTTTAAGAATATAAACTTATTATATGTAACGGATATTTGTTTTTATCGATTTTCATTAGCAGGCCAGAATTTTTATAAATTATTTTATAGAATGTTGGCTTTTCAAGCTTTTAACATTACAAAGCCGCACTTAATTTTATATTTAATAGATGTTAAAATTCATAGATCTCCGATTTTTTTTCGAATTTTTCGATCCCTGATTACAACGTTTTTTCATGGATTTTCAATTCTCTCAGTAATTCATGACGATTAAGTCTGAAATTTCACTGATCTTCACGTATCAACGGACCGCCTGGATACTTCGCTTCGGGATATTGCCTCGACGAATTACCGGGTGTGCAAAGAAAAACGAGAAGAAATATTGCGGAGGTCGTTGAACGCGTAAGCGAAGTTTCGGTCTGGCACTCCCGATAGTCGCTATCCTTAACTAATCTTAACTTTGGAAGGAATTTCGTGACCAATCCCGTAGGAACTGTCGAACCTTGGTACGCCGTGTGCCGACACGGGAATCGTTTCAAACCGACGCAGGACTTCTGGTTCAATCAGGTAATCTAACTACTCGGCAATACAATAATCCACGAAGTGATAAAGTGAATAAAGTGAAACAATCGAGAGCTCATCTCGGTCGAAATTCGACGGGCTACAATCAAAACTTGCTGAGATTCGGGCAAAATCGATTGAAAAGCTGTTGTTTTTGGTAACATTGTTAAGCTGGTTAGTTCTAAACTCGGAATGAGAATCACAGAGAAGAATACAACGTTCTAACATCTAAACGAAATAACAACTTTGCAGTCATTACAACTTTAGCTAGTCCTCACAGAAATGTACTATTGGAAAGTAATTAATTAATTATTTTGATTATTAACAACGTTCAAGTTGGCTAGTACTACATTGAATTTCTGTAAGGAACTTAAAGGAGTACGTAAGAAATATTTAATAATTGCAGAGTTTGCTGCAACAACGGACTAACCCGGACGCAAGGTATAGCCGAATATGTGATATTGATGTTATTTTCTCATAACTTTAACTTTAAAAGTTTATTTTCTCTATTTTTACAAATGTGGGTTAGTCCACTGTTGCACCGAGCCCTTCAATTCTCGCGTCTGGTATCAATTTGGAATTACATAGAAATTTATGGATCTTTCTCTTTATACATTCGTAAACACGATCAAATAAGACTTTATACATCACCATAAATTTTCCTTACATTTCCTCGTTTCCAAACGAGAAAAGCTGCTTACCATTCCTCCACCCAATGGGAGTCTATTTGCCTATATTTTGCCATGACGTATCGACATCATCCATCTACTTTCCTATTTTACAGTAACGCGATTCTTATAGTGAAATAATTTTCATGTTGCAATATTATCCATCAGCAACGCCGATTGTGTACACATAAACGCGAAATTCGCGAATCCACCACTGCCATCCGGCTGCAACCGGTCGGTGATCGATCGACGAAAACGCAAATGACATCGATGGGCGATGTAATAAATTACATATTGCGGAACGAGCCGTCTCTCGATTACATATTTCGCAAATTGAAACGGGAGCGTAACGAAATTTTTAGCGAATTAAGCGCGCATCATCGTGCACGCGGAACGACTCTCTTCAATAATCGTCGGCGTAAGGGAAAATGGCGTTTAAATGTCCATTTAATTCGAAATCTCGAAAAGGGACAGGGTCTGGTTTCCGGGTCAAAGGATATTCATAAGCCGTAGGTGAAATGAGTCGATCAGACGGCGATGTAACATTCACTTTACACTGGTAATTAACGTTTTATTCCCTATACACTCGCACGCGATACTTTAATGCGGGCGCGTTTAACACGCGAGATGCTCGAGTAATACTCGAATAACACACGCTTGTTGCACACGCCGCGGCCCGTAATAAAATTTGTATCGCACTGATGTTTCTGTAGCGTAGTTTTTTTTTAATGGAAATTATTTCTCTGTATAAAATGTTCGCAGACTCGCCCGCGCTCGATATGACGCGGATAAATAATACATCGACAAAAAAATGGGCGGCAATCGATACTATAATAATTGATACGCACGAAAATAATGCCGATATTTTAAAATTAAGAATTCTGTTACCCTGAAGTGTTTATGTGTTTGTGCATATAATATAAATGAAAATAATTTTTTTATAACGATTTTTTTATAACTTTCTCTATGTATGTACTTTACGATTACGTAAAAAGTACACTTTCTGCCTCTGCGTAAATATATTTTATACAATTCTTAAGAGAAAATTTCTTTTTTTACGAAATTACCTTGTCGATGAATCTATAAGATTAATAAAATAATTAATTTAAACAATTTTTATTCTATAATTGAATTTTTTAAATTAAAATCCAAATTATTATATTATAGTATATAGTATTATTTTAAAGTGCCGCCATTTTCGCAATTTCCAACTTTTTCTTATTTTACAGGTTCATCAACAAAGTAATTTCATAAAAAATAAGAAATTATTTTGTATTTTTGTTTCAGATGAGTACAAAAGATGCTACAATTTCCGCCAATTCACAACTCCTGTGAGGAGGTGGTGCAAGATCTGTTTAGAATTACTATATAAAATCAATTACTTTTTAACAATTAAATTTTTTTACTTTAAAAGTATAAACATGAAAAGTATGTAATAAAACACAAAAAATGTTTATGAAGATCCGTTTCATTGCTTCCTAAAAAAAATTCCATAAAAATACTTTTTTTTTAAACACCAAGCTCCTCCCCTTAATTGACTTTGTCATTAAAATCCTTCTTCAATTTTCAATAAGAAAAGAACGATGTTAATTTTTTTTTTCCATAGAATCAATAAAAAAAAACAAAATATGCAGCGGTAGAATAACCTGTGTAATTATTTGTTATTATACGTTGTATGTGTGCACGCGAAGAAAGAAACGGCAAAAATGTATGACGATTTATTATCTCCCGTGTACAAGTTCAAGAGCTGCAACTTCGCGGTTGCATAATAATATTTAATCATATTTAATCACGCTCGGCGTGCTCGTGCGGCGGCGGCGGCGATCGCGCGACAATCCGTAATGTAACGACCGTTGCGTGTGTATCGTCATGCGGAATTGTTTGCGTTCAATCAAGCCGCGGCTTGTCGCTTCTCCGCGCGCATTTTCATTTTCCTACCAAGAGCCGGGATGACTCAAGCGGGCTTTTAACGAAGACATTATTACCGCGAGCCTTCGAGACTGATTACTCCTCATCAATAGGAGGGCTCCACAATAGGCGCGCTCCCAAAGGCTATAAAAGACAAGCCGGTTGCGGATCGATCGCCAGTACACACCGCGGCTTTTTATTGTCGCGGTGCCGAGCAAACGTGCAGTTTCGCGTAAAGCGCAAAAAGCGTTGCGCCACAGCTTGTCGCATCTGGCTTCGCAGTATTGTAGCAGCAGCAGCAGCAGAGCAGGAGCGGAGCGCGCTTAAAAAGGGTGAGTTTCTTAGTTTGCGAAGCAGCATTGCGCTGTGTGCAGCCGCCCTCCCACCCCCCCTCCCCCCTCTCCCTAATGCCACGCGTTATTGAAACAGAACAATATGGAATTGATGAATTCGTCAACAGGCACGTACATACACGCGTACATGCTTGTGTGCGCGCACAATAGGAATATTATTCCGCGATATTTATGATTTTCCCAGTTTTTCTCTCGCAACTGTTTATTATATCTGACTTGTATTTTAATGGAGCAGCGCGCATCAAAACCGTTGAGTTCTCCAATCCGGCAATATTATTCCACGAATGATTTGTACTTTCTACTCGTCGGGTCGTCCCGCTATACGTAGTTTATATTATAATGGAGCGATACATTGAAACGGCGAGATATTTAATTCGGCGGAATATTATTCCGCGATGTCTGACGCTCTTTAATCCTCGGGCGGAGAGGAAATTTAGATTATAATTCTGATGATGGATCTTTATTCAAATGTAAAACGCTACGTCCGCATTTTATGTTAAAGTCTGAATTACCATGTGGTGCAACATTCAACGTACGAATTGACAAGTGTAACGAATTAACGTGCAAGGAACATAATTAGTACAAATTGAATATTTAAAATTTAGACAAGCCTGTAAACCGCTGTAAACAAACCATGCCACGTAAATATGTGAATAAATTAATAAACACAATTAACAAAAATTAATCGTTTGCAAATCTGTATAACTATGTCTGTGTGATGTGGGTGTGTGGAGCAAAAAAAATTAAAATATTCACTGATTATAATGCAATAAATATTTCTTGTAACTATTGAGATTAACAACGTCCTGTGCAACAAATCTTTCCATCGAAATTGATAAAAAAAAAAAAAAAGATGATAAAAATTGGGAAACGATATCGTCGATTCCAGTATACAGGGGGAGGGGGAAGGGGAATGAGGCAGTGAATGGGTGAACGAGCGCGCCATATACGAAAGCCCGGAAACGGGCTTTAACGAGGTTCGGGAGAGAGCGGCGCGACAGGGACACGTAAGGGTGCGAGGTAAAAACTCCCTATGTGTACGCGTATAACAGTACGAAACTGTTCATGTAACAGCCGCCCATGCGCTGCCGGGTAAAATCATGGGTCGGTGAAGACCCGGGAAGGGTATGCAGCGGAGATTGGCAAAACCCGTTTTGATGCAGTTCCCAACAAAACTCCGATGAAGCGAGCTACTGTCCTGGCGAAAACGAGAGAGTGCCCGTGGGCTATCCTAATTAGAGCGATCACCGCCGGCATTTAATTAACCTTCCGCGGTTTGCAGATTTCTTACGAGCGCGCAACGAGCGCGCGTGATTCTCCTTCTAGCTCCGAACTTTATTATTACGTAAAATTTTCACATGGCAAACTTGTTTATTTATTTGCAACTTACAATTAGTAAGTAAGTAAGCGCGAGCGCCTTACGATCGTTGATGTCGACCATGATAAATGCCTGAGATTATCCGCGCTATTCACCGTTTACACGATAATGTTTGCATGGCGGAAGAATCTGATCGAATCTCATTAATTATGCGCATTAATTGTGCGCATGATTTATTAGCTGATTATCATGGAAAAACGATATTCATAACCGGCAAGATCTTAATATTGTATCTCCGTACAATATAATGGATATTTATGAAAAACCCGTTATGAATTCAAGATGATCATTAAATAATTTTAATCCGACTTAATTCCGATTTGATTATTGCGACCTCCCGTTGCGCCTGCGCGGATAATAACTATTATTACGTTGAATTACACGCGGCGCACATTTTTACGACGCTTGCCTGCCACCGTGAGGCGGAAATAACCGAGTGTTGAAAGAAGCGTCCTTCTTACACGCAACAATACAAACGACACAAATTTTTAATAAATTCGAAGCTCCAGTTATTTCGTAACAAGCTGTCCAAATTGCGGACTTCGTGTTTTACACGAGAACCATTTCGGCGACGACACGATTCTCGGAATTTTCGCCTATGTGCGATTGAACAATCGATATACGTGCAACTCACATGCGGCACATTGGCAGAAATTTAGATTTAAATAAGATTTATATTTAAATATAAAATTTAGATTCTATTATTTATTTTGATTCCATGTTGTTATTACGAAAACTACGTGTATAATTATTGAATAGAGAAAATAATTATACTAGATGTGCTTTAAGGTAATTGCTTTTCCCTTTAACAGTACATTTCCTGATGAATGTGGAGTCAATTTTTCTTTTTCTTTTCTTTTTCTTTTTAGCGAAAATTCTGCCTTTTCTCTCATTTATAATTCTCTCTCTTTCTCTTTTCGAACTTTAGTTACGGTTGTTCGTTGGTACTGCAATCTGTTATTTTTTTATACACATATAGCAGCTTATTTATAAATTTTAAATAAAATATACTCCCCCATTAATATATTAATCAATTATCACGATATTTAATATAAGGAAATATTTGGAAATGTGAATCATCGTTGCTAAATAAAAATTTATTCTCAATTCGCTAACGAATGGCTCATAGAAAAGTACGCCGTGACTGAGCACAAAGTCATCAAAAACAGAATATTTAAATATCTACATTTTTCATGGATTCGAAAGTACCTAACAAATATATGTATGGAATATCATTTGTGCATCCAACAAAAGAGAATAAATAACGAATGTAATTCTTTTTCTGTCGAAGGTCATTTTTGTTTAGTATCGCTAAGATTATTAATGCTTTTTTAATGGAACCACATATCTCTCTATTCTATCCGTTTTTTCTCGACATCCGGCTGATTATGACGGCAATGCGGTACAACGTCATAATATTATCCTGAATAGGTTTAACTTTAAACTTTTGAACTTAGAAGTTTATTATCAAGCGAGAGAGGAAATCTTTGAGGTATTAAATCGTTTTATTTAAATTAATCAGACAGAAAGCTTTGCCTAGCGACAGTCTAAGCAAGCGTTCCGCACACATTTTTTTTCATATGTTTAATTCCAGAGAGGTATTTAAATATCCGACACTTTTCTCCCGCGGCAGAGCCTTCCGCGGTGTTTCCGCGCCGGACAATATTACACCTGTAAATCCCGTGCGCGACTTTTCAGACACTACGTACGTTCCGACGCGCGTCGCACTCTGTGCGCACGGGAAAACGTATTTAGCCGGTAATGAGCGGCTGGAAGTTTTTGTTATAATTAGGTTGCTACCTCGCTTCCGGTATCCTGGCGTGCGAGCTCTCGCGGAACTGAGATTTCTTTATGAAGCCCCTCTCTCTCCCTCCCTCCTTGTCATTCTCTTCCTTTTTTCTCTCTCTCTTTTTCTCTCTCGCTGCGCCCTAAAAAAATGTATCACGCGCGTACACCGTGCACATTGTACACGGGAATAAAGATGCGCAAGGCGCACGCTGGGTGATGCATATGCACGAGCGCATTTTGCAAAAAGAGAGAGAGAGAGAGAGAGAGAGAGAGAGAGAGAGAGAGAGAGAGAGAGAGAGAGAGAGTGTATATGTGTGTGTTCGCGCGCTTGAGAGCGAATGAGAGAGGGAATACTTGATTAGCCCTTTTTCTGACACGCGTCCCGGAAATGTTGCCTTTATTAACCAAGATGAAGAGGAAACTCCGGCACTACGGCTCTTCCTTTGTCACTGCGAGCAAATTTAGCTTCTCACTACGTTGGATCTTCCAGATCTTTTATTTATTCATTTAATCTTTATTCCTTTTTTTTTGTTGTACCTCTATTTCGTATTCCCGGCGCATTTATTTTGGATAGATTTAAGTCAAGAATTAACGCGTAGCTTCCGCGGAGCCGCTCGTGCATTATTTGAAGAAATTACAAATAGAGCAAAGGGAAAAACCTTGTTTCGGACTTTCGGCAACGTGAGAGAGCTCGAATTTACTAAGAGATACTACTGTCGCAGAATGCCACTGTTCCTAAGGTCCCACAGGTCACTCTCGCAAGTAGGTAGGTATAGATTGCACCGTGTGTGTGCTTAAGAAAACTTCTCTATCTCTCTCTCGTCTCCCTCCCTTTCGTCCTCGGATAAACAAACTTATCTGTCTGATCTGCTCAAGAGTGAAAGAACGTACTCTCCTATCGGCGTTCTCTCTACGCGAGGCACTATACCGAGAGACACTGGTATCGATCGATTCGGTATAGATGCGCGACAAATTCCGGTTTATGCGGACGCATATCACATCGGGATCGGCGCTCGCTTAATGCATTCGCGCGTCATAAACATCTTCCTTTCGGCCGTACGCGGCTCGTCTGTCGCGTAAATAAAGTCTGACAAGGGGCGTTAGCCGCAGTCGCAGGAACATCGAACATCGATATTCCCTCATATTGATGAGCTATAAAACTACACCTGGACATCGGGGCTATAAAAATTGTGAATTGCGATCTAAATTTACGAACGAGACCGGAAGACCTTTCTTATTATTTAGGCACTGCGCTGACGTCATCGTGCCCTAATGTTATAAATATTGTGATGCAGATTATACGGTAAATTGACAGTTTATTTGTCTCCTTATTTCACGCTTTAATCTTTTACGGAAAGATTTTGCTGAAAGGTCTAAAAGTTTCACTGCTTACAGATGTGAAAATCATTTTGTTGGATCACTAAAATAATTTTATTAAAAATTCAAACATGTTACTAGAATATCAAAATGTTTCACAGTAATGCTTATCATTTTCAAGTTTTCAACAAAATTATTTTTTGATCTGTATCCAGCAAAATTTTTAGATCTTCCAATAAAATCGTTGTTTCCAAGTTCAAATTAATCAGCAATTTTTAATTTAAGCTAAGATTAATGTTACCTAGTTTTCAGAGATTTTAGATTAATGTCATCTGTAGATACTGCTTTCATAAGAAGTCTGTATATAATCTGTGTTATATTCTGTGTGTTGACCGTCTCGGGGGTTAAATAAAATAGCATAAAAATGAACAAAGTTGTCGACGCGACGTCACTTTTATATTTTCATCCATCATAAAACAGTAGATGCTTTTCCGAC